GGTAAAGAGTCAATAAATTAAATTCACCTATCTGCTTTTATACCAGGAATCTGACAGAGCCAATTACCCTCGACAACCAGATCAAGATACATAAGTGTTGGGAGGCCATATGTCGCGACCTTGACCTAAACTTTCTCTCCCCCAGTTTGATATCACTTGGTATACTGACTGCAGATGAATCTCGGGAGATATTGAAGGAGGAGACACGCCTGAAACAAAACGAGAAATTTCTACATTTGATGGTAAAAGGAGACAACCATACCTATGACAACTTGCTTTCGTGCCTGCAACATGATTATGCGTGGTTAGCAAAAGGACTGGCAGAATACGAAGTCATTGAGACAGACAGAAAAATTCACATAGGTAGGTTGATGTTAAAATATAGAGACACTGATAGTATTAATTAGTGGTATGTGAAGGTAGGGGAGAGAGGGGTTGGTTGGAACACTTTTCACATTTTTTGTGATATCTCAGCAGTCAAAGCTTTGGGGACAAAAATAAAAACACTGATAGGAGATAATTATATGCCGCACTCATCTATGAAATAAAACATCAAGTAGGTCTTTTTATTTTAGAGTAATAAATGCTCAAAGTTGCCTCTTAAAACGTTCCATCTCACCCCACCCGCGGGGTAAGTTGGAACAGTCAGTGGGGTGAGTTGGAACAAGAGGGCGAGTTGTAACGCTTGCATATACATTCAAAGTGTAATTCATTTTAAAAGTAGGTTTATCTATATTAATTTCCCAACAAGTACGTGTTACCTCGTATTCGTATCTCCATAGTTTGTAAGCATTTTTTACGTTTACAATTTGCTTTCAAATAGTCTTTTCGATGTATAAACCATATCCAGTTACACTTCATTTCATAATGATAACAAAAGTGGTGTAGTTTAAGAGAAAGGAAATTGAATTCACATAACTCAACCTATCAACAACAGTATGTTAGAACTACAAATGAAAACTGTATCTCTTTCAACTAGACCTCAGAATCAAAATCGCAGTTCTGACATATGTACACTTGGTCACCCTTAATTAGTACCGTTTTCATTTGACCACTTTAGACAAAAAATGCATTTAACCCATTTCTCTTTTGGTCGGCTGTTACTGAACGGCTCCCCACAAACCAGACATGGCCACTCTTCTAATTCTGACTCAGAATCTCTGGTCATCTTTTATTTCCTTTTTCTTGATTTTCTCTATCGACTAGAAATCTTTAACTGTTTTTTATTTTTGTTGCACTTGTCCTTTTTAATTTTGTTGGGCTTGGTCTTTCCTTTTTCGAGTAGCTCTTTTTCATGTGTGTCAGTTAGAACTGTACTGCATCGTTTTCATCTTTTAATCTTTGGACTGCGACGATGAGCCTTTGGAACCGGTCTAATTATTGCTGGACTTGAGCTGTTTTGGGGTTTTCTTAAGTGCGCTATAGAGTGATGTAGCACCTCTTCCGGTGAGGTCATCTGAGATTTCAACTGAAACTTTGCCTAAATGTAAGTTACGAGGTGAATGTTTGTCTTTTCTGGCGGATTTTTTACCCTCGTTCACTAAACATTAGCAGCAACCCCCAATCCATTACACAAAGCTTTTAAAACAATATCGGCAGAATTGGTGTTGTATAGTTTATCCATAACGTACATGTAGGCTCTCAGCTAGAATATTTTCATTTTGCCGCGAAATGCAGAGTAATAATCGACATTTCCTTCCACTTCTAACAGCAATTTATCACAAAGGGCAACAGTGGGCATGCAGACCCCTTTCGAGCTAGCAACTGCATTTAACAAGCAGTGACAATTCCCCCTTGTATCTTCTACAAGCATGTACATTCCGGCATCTGGGAGATGTTCTACCAGCTGGATTTCGTCTCCAGATGGAGTTGTACTGGGTTACTACGTTACTACTCTCTTTAAAGTTGAAAGTAAAACATTTAGAGAGATAAAAAATGAAAAACACCGAGCGGGGTGGGTTGGAACACCCCTGACAGTGTTCCAACTGGCCCCATGTCAAATGTTCCGACCAGCCCCCATGACGTCATGGCCTACTTATGACACTGTATTTCTTTAACACGTGGGAGGTGATTAAAAAAACTACAGCTTTTTGAACATAAAGGTGGTCCTAAACGCTATGCACAATTTCAGTGATATACTCCTTATACTTTAGTTTACAGCACGATGAATGTCAAAAATATGAAAACTTACTTCAAGTGGCGAAAATAAGTTTTTTTCGCATAAAACTTTTACTGCAGTTTCGAAACTTCCACAAGTTTGCCGGATGATTGACCATGTTATGAGATATTTTTATGCTGAAGGAGCACATGATTGGTCTTGTGATTTAAGAAATAAAGCCAATGTTCCAACTTACCCGCGTTCCAACCCACCCCGCTCTCCCCTACGTAATAAATTTGTCCGCGATAGATATTAATGCATGTTAAATAAGTCGTTGCCTAAAAATCAAAAACAGTCTTCATCTTTATGTGTTTGCGTTTATGTTAAAAACATTGGTAGGCTGATGGTAAGATATATAGCACCAAACTTAAAATAGTGTCATGTCACATGCTGAAGTGTCCAAAAATGAAATTGAATGAATTCTAATTTGTATTTAATTTTTTTAAAACATATGTGGAGATGGATGATGGATTATTTTTTATTATTCATGGTTCCAGGAGAGTATAATCAAACATAGATTGCAATCTGTGCACTAAATATTTTCAAGAGTGACCTCAATTGCACCTGTACATGTATGTTGGGTTTGGGTAACAGGCACGTTGTAGTGTTCACAAATATAATTCCCAGACATGTAAATTAATTTGATTAGAGTCGATTGCTTGTGCACTCGACTCGTTTTATGGCCTTACCTGAAGTCATGTAACTTAAGTGGACGTGTGGAATTTGAATAATTAAAATTAGTATGCACCGCCAAATTACTGCAGCACAGAATCCACCTAAAGATAAGAAATGGGTATAAAAGACGTCTAGAATTAATATCGGGGGGCAGACTGAAGAATACTCGAAGGAGACCGCTCGACGGAGCTATGGGAGACGGCCTAGAGCTTGGAGGCTTCACGTAGAACATGTAGTTAGGGATCATCAACTAATAAACCATTAAACTGGTCATTATGTGGACTTGGGTTTTCTTTGCGCGACCTTACGTAAATCTGACACGAACCGTGGAATTTCGAACTGCGTTATCCACTGAGTAAGTTTAAAACGTAATGTCCTATTTCGAGCCCACGCTTGAATTAAGCGTTCTAAATTATATAAGTTTAGGACATTCATCTCATATGTATATGTAAAGGTACATAACAACGTGTAGTAAAGACTACTTAACATTAAGATGCTTGATTGTTTTCTTTTTCTGGATTATTAATTAATTAATGGGTATGTGAAGGTAAATTTTAAATTTGTCTGTGACAGGGATCAATTTATCTTAAAAGAAGATTATATTTCATTGCTTTTAGATAAAATAACAAAATTATGCGCACTTCCCCAGTACCCCGCGCGCTTCGAAGGACGTGCAGGCGACGTGCAGAAAGTTACTCAGCTTTTACTCGGGGGTCATCGCTTAGTCAATATTAAAGCTTTTGGAGGGCAAGGGAAGACCGCCTTGGCAACAGTCACTGGACACCGATTTGTCTCAAAATGGGGAATCCGCTCGGTAATGGTGGACTTAAACAATATTTACACGGAAGAAGGGATGCTCAGGGCCGTTTTTTTTGCGATTAGCTCTTCAACAGATTTAGACACTGAATGCCTAAGCACAAGGGACTTCATAGAAAAGGTTTGTCAGGAAGTTTCGACATACGACAAGAGGATTCTACTGATATTTGACAACTGTGAAGATGCACTTTATTCTGAGGGCAAGCAGACTTTCCTTACCCTGTTAACAAAACTGAACTCAAACTGCAGAAATGCACATATTTTGTGCACGTCACGCAACGCCATTGATATCCCCAACACGGTCGTTTCTGAACATCCGCTTGAATCTCTATCTAAGGATGCGTCGGTTTCTTTGTTGGGTTCGTATTCAGATGATTTAGAATCCAATGACGGAGAAAAACTAGCTGCAAAGTGTGGTTTCATGGCGCTGTTACTCCATACTGTGGGAGTGTTACTGGAGTGGGGATATACTGCTGCGGAACTCTTGGATGAGCTTGCCTCGAGTCCCTTTGCTTTAAAAACTGATGACTTGGACACCCATCAATGTATAAATCTGACGTATAGACGTTTGGAGCTCGACGAACAGAAAGTGTTTCAGATTTTGTCCCTATTCCCATCTACTTTTACCTCTGCTCAAGCCACTGAGCTCTTAAAAAAGGACATCCAAGTATCTGACAGGTCAGACATTGAGTATAAGGGTCTTCTTAAAAAGCTATGTCAAACTTCATTCCTTAATTACGACGCCACAAAGAAAACATACGCTATGCACAGTATAATCCGAGATTTTGGAAAGCTCCAGATACAAGAAGAAGAAGCGGATGCACATAGACTAAATTTTTTAAGTTTTATGGAAAATTATATTACGAAGTTATTAGGAGTGGAAATAAATGAAGCGTCTTTAATTTTCGAAAAGGACAGAGACAATTTCGTTCATTGCATTGACATTTTTGCAGAACTATCCAGTCAATCACAGAAACTGATATATTCCACTATGAAAAAAATTGCAATGCGCCTACACCACATATTTAGGAATAATCATGCATTGCGCTCCTTTAAAATCCTGTTAGAAGTACAGCAGCAAGCAAAAGATGCTGATAGGGCAGAGATTGCATATCTCCACATGTACATAGGACAAGCATACCTTTATCTTGGAAATGATAGTTATTTCGAATATCATTTGCAATTAGCTGTGGACATCTATGAAAAGCTAAAAACAACACACGGCAATAGAGACTACCACCATTGCTGTTATCATCTTGGCCTAAGATGCTTTGCAAAAGGCAGTTTAATTGAATCTCTTCAATGGTTTGAGGAATGTTTAAAAGTGTCTGTAAATATTAATGATCGAAATATGATACTACGTGATCAATCTTTCATCGCCTTGATAAAAGTAAAGCAAGGAGAGAAAGAGAAAGTTATGGACATGCTACAAAAGATACTGGAGAGAGATCCCGAGCTGGACGGCAGGCCTGGCGAGGTGGATAGCAACACATTAAACCATGTAGCTTCCGCACTATTCCTTACTGGTAAACACAAAGAAGCATTGTTGCTGTACAGCCGCTCATTGATGATCGCGCAACCTGCTTTAGGAGAACATCTTAACACGGCCTTGATACTAAAAAGAATCGGAGAATGTCCATTGATTATCGCGCAACCTGCTTTAGAAGAACATATTAACACGGCCGCCATACTAAAAAGAATCGGAGTCTGTAAGTTGTGTTTGGGTGACGCAGATGGTGCCGCGAATGCCTTCCAAGGGGCACTGGCCTTCACGGAGAAAATCTTTGGGGGGCACCACAAATTTACAGCAGCCATGATCCATGACCTAGCTTGTGCCATGTCAGCGCAGGGAAATCATGCTGAAGCTCTCAGTACATTCCAGAGAGCACTTCGTATGAAAGAAGACGTACTTGGCGAGAGTGCCAGTACAGCCCATACCCTATACAAAATAGGCCATGAAATGCTAACTATTAGCGACCCAGCAGGCGCTGTGAAGTCCATCCAAAGAGCAGTGGCCATCATGGAGAAAATCCATGGGGATCACCACGAATCTACAGCAGACATGATCCATAACCTAGCTTGTGCCATGTCAGCGCAGGGAAATTATGCTGAAGCTCTCCTTACATTCCAGAGAGCACTTCGTATTAAGGAAGACTTATTGGGCGAGAGTGCCAGTACATCCCTTACTCTGTACGAAATAGGCCAGAATATGCTGACTATGAGTGACCCAGCAGGCGCTGAGAAGTCCTTCCAAAGAGCTCTGGACATCAGAGAGAATATCCATGGTGAGCACCACACAATTACAGCAGATACGATCCATGAGTTAGCCCGAGCCATGTCAGCACAGGGAAATCATGCTGGAGCCCTCCGTACATTCCAAAGAGCACTTCGTATAAAGGAGAACTTATTGGGCGAGAGTGCCAGTACATCCCTTACTCTGTACAAAATAGGCCACGAAATGCTGATTATGAGTGATCCAGCAGGCGCTGAGAAGTCTTTCCATAGAGCACTGTCCATCAGAGAGAAGATCCATGGGGAGCACCACGAATCTACAGCAGTCGCTATCAATGCGTTAGGCGGTGCTATGTCGATACAAGGAAATCACGTTGAAGCCCTCAGTTCACTGCAGAGAGCACTTCGTATAACTGAAGAAGTGTGGGGTGAGAGTGCTAATACAGCCACTGCACTATGCAATATAGGAGTGGTAATGCTTAATATGGACGACGTAGATGGTGCCGTGAATGCCTTCCAAAGAGCACTGACTATCAATGAGAAGACCCATGGTGAGCACCACGAATCTACAGCAAACACTATCCATCTGTTAGCCCGAGCCATGTCAGCACAGGGAAAGCATGTTGAAGCCCTCAGTACATACCAGAGAGCATTTCGTGTAATGGATGAAGTGTTGGGTGAGAGTGCCAGTACCGCATGTACACTTCGCAACATAGGACAGGAGATGCTAACTTTGGAAGATGCAGATGGTGCCGTGAATGCCTTTAAAATAGCACTTGCCATGGAGGAGAAGATCCATGGTGAGCACCACGAATCTACAGCAAACACTATCCATCAGTTAGCCCGAGCCATGTCAGCACAAGGAAAGCATGTTGAGGCTCTTAGTGCATACCAGAGAGCAATTCGTATAAAGGAAGAGGTGTTGGGTGAGAGTGAAAGCACAGTAAAGAAACTTTACACAATAGGACAGGAAATGTTGAATACAGCCCATACAGTGCAAAGTGAGGGCAGTGATGAAATAAAAACTGATTATATTGAGTCAGCTGTTTATGTTTTCAGAAAAGCTGTTGAAATTAGAAAGAAAACATTGGGTGAATGCCACTCTTTAACTGTCGTCACAACGCATGCTTTGGGCAGAGCTTTATTTGAACAAGGTCATTTCTCGGAGTCACTCAATATATGTCTTAAGGTACTCCTTATCCGTGAACAAGAAGGTTTGATTGAAGATCGCGACACTGTGGTTATTATGGGTAACATTGCTGTGGTTATGAAAGCCACAGAAGACACTGACGGTGCTATAACGATGTATAGACGTGCTCTCGATTTGAGTCGCAGAGTTCTGGGAGATGATGAACAGACAATGGATCTTCAAAATGATCTTTCCGAGATCTTACAGGAGGTCGGTCGCGTTGAAGAGAGCGCAACGTTGAGGAAGGAAGCGGAGATTCTAAAAAAGAGGCTGGCTGCTTCTAAGACTAAATCGAATGGATCATGATTCATATAATGAATACTGTCGTGACGCCAAGTGATGTGATACTATCACCATGAAAGATACCCTGGTGACATATTATCTGAGATGATGACATAATATGAAATTGGACTGCATGCACTATTAATTATTGTTTCTCAAATGAAAGGAACAAGTTTTGGTAAAAATAAAAACAGACGATACAAATAATTTAGTCATATGACATAGTAAGTAGGTTTATTTTGTGGCGAAAAAGAATCATAACAACAAGAAGTGTATTTATACTTTCATTATATATACATTTTTTTTTGTAAAATAGTTTCATTACATATTATATACGAAACGTTACGCCTCCGATCTTCCATCAAAGGGCCTTTATTAATACCACTAGACTAAGAGTCCATTAATCTAAGGAAATATGTTGTTCAGAAGGGACGGAACCTTAAGTTTTAAAGTAGGACATGCAAGCTCTGTCGAATCAATTTATTTTTACCGTGATCATAATATTTAACATATTTTGTCGCTCGCTTTTCATGCACGATGCATTTTAGGGTGGTAACTACATAAGCCACGGTTACCCTGAATGCAAATGATGAAATACTGTAATTTCTATGCTGTTTATTATATTAGTACTACCAGCGTGAACGCTGGTGGTACTCATGGTTTTAGTCCAGACACGTCTCGTACAACTCCTCTGCTCCTGCGACTCCGCCGGCTCCGCAGGATGGTGTGGCACATATTATCTCAACTTGAACTCCCTGTTTTTTTTTTTTTTTCTTTTTTTGTCTCAGTTGGTGCAATCGCCTGGGCGTGATGCTCGTTGAAACGAGCCCATGTCAAAAGTTTTGAAAATACGATGCTAAATATCTTCCAAACCGAAGGAAATATGACAAAAATTACTATAGAAGTCGGCCCGAAAGTTATATGTGGAGTTTCCAAATATGCCCTTGGGCTTGACCTCTGACCTTTACTTCCAGGTCAAACTGGCAAATATTTTCAAAAGATGGACATTCTTTGCAAAAAGATAATTTCTTTGTGCCGATTTCCAGAAATTACACAGGCCTAAGCACTCATATTATAGTTAGGTGTTAAAATTAGAGACTCATTTCGTCTTTGGGATTTTGGGGTCAATCAGTGCATTTTCACGGGAGAAGGAACCATTACATGTAGATGCCGAAACTGAAAACTCTCTCTAATTCTGGAACCGTAAATGCTAGAGACCTTTCGTTTTTTTTTTAGAGCTTGTCAAGCACAATACTGGAAGTGGTATCTTTTTTGTTTTTGTTTGTTTTCGAAGAGGAGTAGCACTATATCAAAAATTACGTCGCAATAATCAGTGGTGAAAATAAAATGTGAAATACGCCCATAGCTACTATTGATCTTGAATAGGAAGTCATGTACTGGCAATCTAACCGTGGCTTTGAAAATGGCTTTTGACCTACTTTTCACCATAGACTAAACTTTGCAAAATTTCTGTCCATTATATCTTGTAAACTGGCAGAGATACAGGCAAAGTTACTATTAAACTTGAATAGGAATTCACATACTGGCAATCAAACTGTGACATTTAAATCGACCTTTGATCTACTTTTTACCATGAACTGAACTGTACAAATTTCCCATCCCTTGTATCTCCAAAACTGCAGCTGCATGGCAGAGATACCCTGTAGGTCTATTTATTTCTACATCATATATGCAACACTGATAACACATTTCAAGGAAAACTGATAGGCCTATTGTGTTATAAAAATACAGGTCGAGTTCGAAAATCAGCTTGATCAGACCATTTTGATAGAAGTTCGCCCTTTTTTGGAGGGGGGGGGGGCATATTTTGAGGAGTCTTGTATATTGCATTTTGTTGAGCTTGTCAAACACAGCACTGGTGGTTGTGTCCCTTTATTTTGGATCATGATTCATATAATGAATACTGTCGTGACGCCAAGTGATGTGATACTATCACCATGAAAGATACCCTGGTGACATATTATCTGAGATGATGACATAATATGAAATTGGACTGCATGCACTATTATGTTTTCCATACAAATGCGCTTACTCCAGCTGGTAGTACAATATCCGAAGGTGGTATCGCCTCTCTGATCCTCTAGTTAATTACGATGTGTTGAAATATATGTTGATATAAAGCGTTTGAAGAGGACATTCCATAAATTAAATTAATATGGAATTTCAATCCCCCAGAGTTACAGGTCTTTAAAATGTATTTGTTTATAATAATGCATCTTTTATGGATAACGAGTGTTATTGATTGTAGTATGTCAAAATTATTAAATTATTTTATATATTTATTTTTTATGTATTTTGTGGTAAATGTATAATTTGTTATAATAATTTTGGTGTGGTGGATATTTTAATCTTGTAACTTCAATATAATGTCAGTGTCATTACACTGTTAAGTGAAGGATTATGTTTTAATCAATATAATATTCCAGTCAAAATATATATTATTCAACATATATGCTGTGATCTAGCAATACTGCCTGATTCAACATAGTATCTTAATCTCCAATTACACTATGACTGGACAAATAAAGCATAACAGAAATGCGCTGTTGTAGCACGAATGGGGTAGAAATAAAACTAATTGCTAATTGAACAGTGATGTGTTATTTGTTTTGCGGATGCGGGCATTTTGGTTTAAAATGGTATAAATATTGTAAATAGTTCACGCAATCGCTAACTATCTGTGCATTGAATTAATATTGTGGGTTCACCATGTGAAGTGACGCAATTCGCATTTTCAGCTCAGAAGAAATTGTTCTTCTAAGGTTGCGTCGAGGCCACACGAAAGAAGCAGATCTGACATAATGATTACATTACATGAAAACAATCTCAGAACGAAATACATTCTATCGCAGGAGCGCGTTTGTTGCAATTTATCATTAAAATAAATTAACCAATGTTAACCCACATTTCCTCAATGTCTAAACAATCAGATGCTTAAAACTGTAAATAGGGTTTATATAAAGAACTTGATTGAGCTAATTTGGATATTGTGCACCGCCGTTAATTATAAAATGTTGAACTTTTTAGACAAAAAATATCTTAGTAACTATGTAAAAGTCTAATGAACGTTAAATGCCTTTAAATTTCAGTCAACAACTATCCAGTGTTTAATTGAAAAGTAAGAAAAATATGGTCCATATTTAAAAATGAGTTTATTTGACAACCTATTATCGTTAAGTAACTCAAATAGCAATTGCATACAATGGGACCGATGCACGACTCGCCACATATTACGCGCTTCTACTACATGTTCTCATCGTATCGTCCCAAAAATCTTGTTCTCTTTTGTTCTTTCCTTCATTTATTATCTAAATGTTATTGCAATATATTTCATCAATTTTCTTAGGTAAATGTGTACCTCTATCAAATTGTGTTCTTAACTGGTGCATTTGTTTGCATACTGGCTGTTTACTGTTGTAAAATACTGTTGACCAGAATCCAATATAGCACCGGAAAATGACAATAATCAAAAGTTGATTTATGTCATTACCACTTCCATTTTGGCTATTACAATGTCGGTTCGTTTGCAGATGGTTTCATTTAAATTTGATGATAATTATAATATTATTGGTCACAACCCAATGTGATGATCTTTATATATAATCTACCTATTGTCCTGGCATCATTATATATTACTTGTACGTTTGAAACGAACGACCAGAAAGATGTCTGGTATATTCTACGTGACCGCAGTCGCCGTATTCGCAGCGGCAGTTCTGTCAGCAACCCTGCCACCGAACACAACTCCAGATCCATTTGCAAACGCTCCATGGGACATGAAGAGCTTCTGCAAGATATCGGGCCTCGAGAATGACCCACGCCCCGTTTTGAAATGGGAGCACGACGACTCTCCATCGGGGAAATTAAGCTCGTGCAGTTGCCTGAACTCTGAGGCTGAATGCCCTGTGGTACCGTCTTTGAATGCAACGTATAACGACCTGTGTAACGCCGGGGCGAGTTATGCCACGTTCTCTTTCATCCCTATACAGCAGGGTCAACCGTGGATGTTTTATATCACCTGTGGATGTAGTTGTGACGAGGCACCGAACTGCCAAAACTCAACCTGTACCGACCATGTTATTTCGCTGGACAAGAAATCCTAATGGGAGGTGGGCGTTTTTATTACTTTTATTACTTAAACATAAAGTGAGTGTTTGGTCTTTTACAAAGCAGATGCGGAGAAATAGATATCTGGCAAATGTTAACACATTTCCCCTTTTTCACCAAAGTGTATCATGTCCTAAACCGTCACCAGAACTTCGACTGAATTCTAAGTTCTTGTTTTTAGCCGCTCACGTTATGAAGATATAGGAAGGTGCAATTAAAGCGTGACAACGTGACAATGGAATTTACTAATAAAAATAAAAACTCGTTTATAGATCGCGATTTCCTTAACGTTTCTTTTTAATTATATTTTATTCATTTATTTTAATTATCATTATCATTATTATTTTGATTTTTGATTTTGTATGTGATACAGACAAAATGCTGAAACTTCCAGGAAAATGTTGCATTTTTTTAGGTTTTTGCTCTGAATACCTTAAATAACGTGTGTGGAATTTATAAGGACAATATGATAACAGCTGTGAGCTATACCACCGTCATCTATTCGAACAAACTTTGAGTCAGTTGGTTGATGGAGAAAAATAGATCTATTTTGTTTGCTAAAATTCTTCCCGCCCGGGCGCATTATAGTTTTAGTTTTGTTGGTTAACATTTATTTTTGTTACATTTTAGGGCCAGTGGATGGTAACTTGAGGAAACACGAGGCAGAAATCATAGACTGAATGTACAACGTGTTTTGTTTATAGGAACAATAAATCATGTTTTACAGACTAATGTCTGGTTGGTTTCTTCTCTTTATGCGTAGTGTTTTAAACTGGCACAATATATAAAAATGTGCTTTTTAACTATTTGAAAGTGCATAAAAAACGACCAACTGTGGATAATAAAAAAAAAACACTTGGTACAGCTCATATGAAATAGGGTTTTAGACAGAAATA